TCTAAACTTTTACGAAGTGCCGTTTAAATAGTGTTTATAAATTTGAAACATTCAAAATTCATTAAAAAAATATAAAACCAGAATATATGAATAATTTATAATGAAAGATTATGAGAAAGGGACTTAAGATACTTCATAAAATATGGTCGATTTTCACGATCGTTAGCGAAACTCATGCTGTCCTGCTGTGACAGACTCATTATTCTTCACGGAACGGTCGTAGGCCATTAAACATTCACCGAACTCATACTGTTCCCACTCGTAATACAATCCTATGTTGGGTTCGTATACGAAGTACATTAGTAAACAGCAGACAGGTGGCGGACCCACAGACGGTACGTACACCAGGAAATGTGGAACGCGTCAGACAAACTTTGCTGCGCGGTCCGAATCGCACTGCTCGGTGGTATGCTACTGAACTTGGCATCGATAATCGTTCTGTAAGGCGTATTTCGCATGAAGAACTACATTTCCAACCCTAGAAATTGGTCACTGGCCAACAGTTGAGACCAGGGGACTATGCGCAGCGGTTTAACTCTGCACGTCAGATGGAAGCAATCTTTGAAAGAAATGACCACCTCATTTTGTTAATGAGTGATGAAGCTCATTTTCATCTCACTAGCATGGTGAATCAACAGAATTGTCGTTATTGGGCTCTTGAAAATCCGAGAGAAAACGAAAGACCATTAAACATTCCAAAAGTGACGATATGGCGTACTGTTGGAAAAGCTGACGTCAATGGACCTTACTTTTTTGAAAACGATAATGGTAATGCTCTTACTGTGAACTCTGAACGTTACATCGAGATAATAAACAAATTCTTAGGATCAAAGTGTAGTATCTGCGCTTTGTGAGCTGCCGGGTCGGGTGTCTGTCGAACTCTGCTTGCAGAGGGGAACCCGGACGAAGCTCCGCCGAAGGGTGGGGTTTCGTTCGGGGAGGTTGACGGAACTAGCCCGCTTGGACGGGTTTAGATGGGTTTTATTTTTGGCTGGGCCTACGGGCTCAGACATACCCACATTAAAAAGGCCTTGTGCCACATTCAATTTCTGTGGGTGAATTGATAAATACCATAAACAAATTCTTTGTGCCTGAATTACGACGAAAACTTATTCCTATCCGACGTGTGTGATTTCAGCAATATGAGGAGATGGACCACGCAGCCAGACCATCTCTGGAAGTTCTTTGCCCTCTCTTTGGCGACCGCCTCATTTCCAGGTGCGCTGACACTACTTCACCCACGTGGTCCCCTGATTTGTCCATGTGTGATTATTTCTTGTGAGGAAACCCCAAGAAGGCACATGTGTATGAGCATAAGTTCTGTACATTGGATGATTTGGACGAAGCTATTCGCGCGCAAGTCACCCAAAGCAATTTTGGAAAGAGTGGAGGACAACTTACAAAAACGCCTTCAGAAACGAATAAATGAAAAAGGACACCATATGTGGGATGTTCTTTGCCACTCTTGATTTTGTCAAATGCTAATTCGATACGAACACACTGATGTCAATAAAAAAAAAAATTTGAATTTAAAATGAATGTTGTGAACTTTTCAAAAACGTCCATTCTCTATGTCTGATCTCTATATATAAAAGGCAGGATGTGTGTGTGTGTGTGTAACGAATGCACGGCCGCAATTTTCGACGGATTTGCACCAAAGTTTACATGCACATGCTCCAAGTTAGTGGGAAGACCAAGACCGACTTTGCATTTCCCAACTCCCATCGATAGTGGAAATAATCGATTTTTTCATGCTTCTACGGCAGTTTTCATCTAGTTTACGGCCATTTTCTACTGGCCAGAGTGAGAGCCTATAGCTGGCTGCCACGAATAGGCAGGAAGATTCTAATGGCCAGCGTGAGAGCCAACAGCTGACTGACACGAATGTTAACTAGCATGCTAGCATGCAAAAAAAATCGATAGCTGCATTCGTCACAAGTGGTAAAAATTTAAATCTGCATGGCACTTTAATCCAATTGGCTCATTTAACGTTGATTCTGATTCCGCAGAACTGGGTTCGGTGTGAAAAAGTATTTGTGTTAACATTCTTTTTTCATTCTGTTTTTTTTTAAAGCTGATCGTTTTGTGTTCATATTGTTTAGCTCTTTTTTTCGTAACAGATTTAATGTTTAGTATAGAGCTTAGAAAAAATTCGCAGTGTGAGATAGGCAAGAAGTAAGGCATGTAGCAACATCAGCACGGCAAAGGGTACTCCTTTAAAGGCAAGGAAGGGCAAAAATATTTTAATTCAAGTGATAGCGATTGCTGTACGAGTCGTACGATTTTTGAATCAAGCACGGGCAACGCCGGGCCATGCTGCTAGTCCTGTATAAAACTTTGCCGATTTTTGTTTAATAAAATCCACCTTTCCTGTATAAAACTTTCCTCTGCATTTTTTAGGGATGAAGCACCATTGGAGACTAATTCAAAAAGATTCCTTTCTTCTTATGGGCAAAAGAGAAAAGATCTCCAATCATCGATTTCAACATCCGTTGTAGCACAAAGCGATGTTTGACCCATTACTTTCTCTTCCAATATCCATGTTCCATATCTAATTAACCCTCTTCGTTCCCTGCCCGAAAACAAAGTGTTCCCTCTGCCAAAATGTAAATCTTATTTTTTACAACTTTATTTTTGGATGTGCCGTGTCCTTCAGGGCATGGGTGTCAGATTCTGTTGTAAAGCCCTTTTCTCTTCCAATATCCATGTTCCATATCTAATTCGCTGTTTCCCTCTGCCCTCTTTTTTTAATATGTCCTGTGGGTGTCAGATTCTGAAAGCCCTCTTGCCTCTGTGGCCCATAAATTTTAACGGTCTCTTTCTGATTCAAATTCCGACTGTTATTCTAGATCTTTAAAACTTCCTCGTTAGTCACATACACCATCCGTGGTATTCTCAGTATCCTTCTGAAGAATCACATTTCTGTTGCTTCAAGTTTCCTCTTCATCTGCGAGGAAATTGTCGAGCATTCACTGCTGTATCAGATGATTGACATTATATAGCATATGAGCGATTTTTTATTCGGTGCCATATTGAATTTTCATTTTTCTTAATGAAGAACCCACACGAAAAGCGAAAGATGGCTTACAGAACCTAAGCATTTATAACTCAGCCAGTTAAGTGCCACACGCAACTCACGCTTGGGCGATCATATCTCTTTCGATTCATGACGGGCGAGGCAGAAGATGTTCCCGCAGTAGGCTGGCGTTTCTTTCTGCGGTAGACTGGTTGCCAACCAAGACTTACAGGGGCCAGTCTTTGCTGCTATTGAACCAATAGTCAGGGGAGAATATCTTTCTCAAAGGCATTTGCGCGGAAGTAATTGTAATGAACCCGAGTGGAATTCGAACTCGGCTCTCTGATTTCCAATTCAGAGCCGATATCTACCACACCACAATGCACGTTTACAAAGAATACTGTGTCGTCGCTGCGCCGGATATCGGACGTAATTATCCTCACCTTTACGACCTTACTAACTTCAGACACCCGTACAAGAAGGCCGGAGAGTAGAGCGGCTGAAATGTTCCGAATAAGGATGTTCGTCTGAGTAATAAAGTTTGAAATTCCCGGTCTCAAGTATTCTTATGAATTTTTCTGTCTTTAGATTTAACTGTCGAGAGTAGGAACAAAGAAATCGGTTCCAATAAGGACTGAACCTGCGTCCAAGGAAGCTATCAATTTGTCATTTAAAATTCTTTTCTTAACTTTTACTCCTTCTCATATTCTCTCTATCTCTCTTTTTCTCTATCCCTATCTTTTTCAATCTCTCTCTTTTCAGTTTTTCCTCCATTCTTTTCTCTCTTTCTTTCTTTCTTTCTCCCCGCCCCTTCACCTACAAACCCACATTACTCTCATTACTGTTCTATCACTTCGAAAAATCTACAAACACTCCTATATATAGAAGGTAGTGACGGAAAGAGAGAAGAAAGGACTAATCATCAAGTGCGAGAAGTCAGATTGCATGGTTGTTAACACAAAGGTTTGTGCCCAGAGTGCGAAGTGCAAATCGGTGTCACCAAAATCAAACAAGTACAAAAATTTAAATATCTTGGAAGTGTTTTAACAGAGGAAGGAAAATGCGGCACTGAAATCCGAAGACATATTGGGATAGCCAAAGATGCCTTCCAAAAGCTAAGCAGAGTAATAAGAAATAGAAATGTTTCTCTCGAAACAAAGAAAACATAACTGCTACGTGATATCTGTCCAGTATGGCAGTGGATGCTGGACGATCTCCTCAAAGATGAAGAGACTTGAAGCAACAGAAATATGGTTCTACAGAAGGATGCTGAGAATACCGTCGACCGAACATGCCAGTAACGACGAAGTTTTGGAGAAAATGCAAACAAAAAGGAAACTAATACTTAACATCAAGAAGATACAGTCGAGGTGACTGGGGCATATAATGAGGAAAGAAGGCTTAGAAAATCTGATCCTCACAAGACAGGTTGAATGCAACAGGGACATAGGAAAACGAGCAAAGCATATTTAATGAGCTTGAGTAAATGGATGGCGGAACAGGGCTTAGGAGAAATAACAGACAAAGTTTATTAAGAGCTACAAGAGATGGGAAGTTGTGGAGAGCTATGACTGCCTACGTCCTGAAGGGAAAACAGCACATAAAGAAAAAAAAATCGTGTACTCAAGAGAGGGAGGGCGATCGAAAAAAAGATTTTCCAGTTGTCCATTCCTGTTCACCTCGTCGAAAAGAGGATGGCGAAGGTGTTTATTGTGTATGGGGAGGGGCCGTTACTTTGCCTGCCCTTCATCGCGAATGGTGGGGATCGTGAGGCGAACTCCTGGGACGAGAACCATGAAGATCGCATCAAGGCTTGCTGAGTGTTCGCTTACAGCACGACTGAGAATTGCACCTGACGAACCCGGTAAGAGGCTTTATTTTTAGCTGCAAGGGGCAGGGAACTCGTGTCAACTTCCGCTGAGAGAAGGCTGGCTCGGACATATGGAGACGGGGCGGGGGATGAGAGGAGGCAGGAACTTAACATCGTAACAGTGTCTCAGTACAAACTAGGAAGTGGTCAAATTTCATGTTTTGATAAGGGCCAGTAGATATACTTACTAGGGGTCTTGTAATTTCTTATCTACCTATCTGTTTCTTTTTTTATCTTCATCATATAAAGATTTTCTTTTGCTCTATGTGTGCATGTGTGTTTGTATGTGTGTAGGTACTTCCAAAGATTCGCTAAGAAAACGGATTCCTGATGAAAAAAAACAATAAAATACATAATAAAAACAAAATTTTATTGTTAAAATCTTTGTTATTATTAAGACGCAAGTGTGAAGATTTTAATTTTTTAATATTTTATTGTTCAATATATATATATATATATATATATATATATATATATTGATCTTGCGTCTTAATATATATATATATATATATATATATATATATATATATATATATTGAACAATAAAAATATTAAAAATTAAAATCTTCACACTGGGTTGTAGATTAATATTCTTTCGTTTTTTTTTTATTGTTTCATTTAGATTCCTCGACTAGTTTCAGCCAAAAATGGCCATCATCAGGAGAAGAAATATTTCTGCTTGCTGGTAGCAGTGAACTACAGAAATATATATATATATATATATATATATATATATATATATATATATATATATATAATCCTTTTTGAAACTTCGAAATCTTACTTAAAAGTCATGCGTTTTTTGTGTCAACGCGGGACAAGAGTTTTATACGTGAAATTTAATCGTCCTTTTTTCGTTAAAAACACTGATTTGGAAATTCTTGCAAAAATCAGATAATCAATATAGAAAGAAGGTATATATTTTGTAATAGTTTGAGAAAATTCTTTAATATCTCAAAATTTGTTTACCCTGTCGAACTCATTCTATGTGTTTCTGGCTAAACCATTCTTATTTCTCAAGAAATTAGGTTTTTATCTTAGAAATCACTGAAATATTTTTACCAATACCGTATACACAAATACGGTTTAATTGTCTTAACAGAATTTGGAATAGTGTAAAAAATATTTTATACCTAATAGATTAGTTAAAATGTGGTATCTCTATATTTCTGAGATGCGGTTTTATCTACATTATTTATATTATTCGGGCTATTTATTACAACGTTTCGGCCGTTTTACGCTCCGGCCTTCTTCAGGTGGTTGGAATGTCGAACTGAACCCTTTATTTTGCTCACTGTAGTAGACTGTTCTAGTTCCACGTGCCATGTTTAATGGATGTCAGTTATCAGTTATCTCCTGCCAATTTCCCTCTGAAAGTTCTCAACTGCCTTAACCGGGTATTGAACTCACACTCGTTCGCTCCTGTCACTGGATCTAACCAACGCCTTTATCCACTGCGTTGGTTAGATCCACTGACGATATTCAGTCACACCCACCCACGAGGGTGTCATGTGGCACAAGGCCTTTTTAACGTGGGAATTCCGATCCCGTGAGCTCGGCCAAAAATATGCCCATTGAACCCGTATAAACGGGTTCAGAGCCGGTTTTACCTCCCCGAAGGAGACTCCGCCCTTCGGCGTAGCCTCCTTCGCGTTCCTACCGTCCGTAGGAAGAGAGTACAACCGAACAGTCGGTTCAGAGTTGGGCGACTGACCACTGACAGGGCCCAAAGATTGTGAGTTCAATACCCGGTTTGATTTTCTCAAGTGCACAGTATAATAGAGTCAGTTGGGAACCGGCTGGGAAAAAAAGAGTACCATGACGCAATTCACTCTGCCAGAAATTTGGAAACGGCATGATGTACTGCTTTGCATCTGCTCCAGAAGTTACAATACGAACCTCGTATCCTGAGTAAAACGATAAACTACATCCGCGCCCTGGTAAGACGATAAACTACATCCGCGTCCTGGGTAAGTCGATAAACTATGTCCAAGAGTAAGGCCTCTGATCAGGAAGTTTTGAGGAGCGTGGAACCACCTCTTAATTGCAAGTGTTCCTAGGTCCACACTGACCCGGAGTGGTAGCATCTGTTAGGGTTCCAGCTATTGGCAAATAGTTAACACCCAAACTTGTGTAGATTTCATCAAGGGAAAATATTCCCAGAAATTGGAAGAAAAACATATTACCAGCAATAAAAATTTTGTCGGCATTAAATAACTCATTGAGGTTGATAAGCCGTAAAACAAAACAAAACAAACAGACGAACAAATACAATACGAACCTTTCTGAGTGTTTGGGTGTCATCTGGGGACAGTTCACAGGATTCGGAAAGAATTGGATGAGTCTAATGGTGATTACGAGGGAGTGATCACTAGTGATGTTGAAGTTATGTCTCCATTCATCTTCCCACAGAGCCTCAAACTCAGCACGGAGGCCTGCATCAAGTGCCTTGAGATAGTAGTGCTGCCCTGTGTCGAGAGGGTGGATGCTGGAAAACCCTATATCTGGCAACAGGACTCTGCACCATGTTGCACAAGCAAGAGAACGCAGACTGTCAGACAATTTCTGTGTCCTTTACATCTGGCCACCTGACTTCTCAGGCTCTTGATTATTATGTGTGGAGCGCATTGAACAAGAGACCAACAAAACTTTTTAGACCAGAGATGAACTGAAGACAAGAATTATGGTAGCATTCACCGATTTGAGCAGGGGGACTGTCCAGAGGAGATGCAGGAGATTCCGAAGTCGTTAGGAGGCCGTGGTTGAAGCCAATGCCGATTTTATTGAATAAATTTACTGTTTAGTATTTCGAGCTATTTTGTGTCATTTTTTTACGGTGGATAAAAAAAAATGAAAATAACACTGACATCTCATTTTAACAGATATATTTACCAAAATTTACCCCTAATACCGCCTGAGGAGTGGATGAAATGATTTTTTGGGTGTTGTACTACGAAACAGGCGGGATGCTGAAGGTAACATCAATTAATTAAGTGACAAATTTTATATTTATATTCAATTTTTTTTCCATTTTATTAGACCATTTTTAAGAATAAGTTTTCAGATTTTATCAATAATTTTGTTCCTCCATATGTTTTATATATTCTCTTTTTTACCTTTTCTCTTTCTTCCTTCTCGTCACAATATATTCTAACCAGAGCTCCGTCTTTCAACACTCGACCACGGGATCTGCCAATTTTTACTACAACTTGTTACACAAGAGACGTCTTTCTCCCTCCCCGACCTATAACTCCCTTCATCTATGTTTACAATTCCACTCTCCATTACGACATACTTACTAGTAACAATAAACCTGCTGAACACTTTTACACCGATCAAAATTTAAATTTGTTTATTTTCATAAAAGGTTTCGCACATCGAGGTATCAGACAAAGATCTGTTTTTTGCTAATAATACAATTTCCACTGGAAAATATCCCATCTACAAAAAAATCTTCCAGTGAGTAATAGCCATTTCTCTGTTTGTTCCTCGGACCGGTGATAAAGGACACAGGGGTGTCCGAAAATTCTGAACATAAAACTTTCACTCCGTGCTTCATTTCTGTCCTATGGTTAATATTTAATAAATGTTTATCGTCTCAGATTACATTGGTACCCTTTCTTTTGTCCTTTATTATTAATTGCAAGCTATCTATTTATATATATATATATATATATATATATATATATATATATATATATATATATATATATATATTTGAAATAGATTGGTTAATAATAAAAGGACAAAAGATAGGGTGCCAATAAACCCAGGGTCACAAACTCACATCTATTCAACCAAATATATATATATATATATATATATATATATATATATATATTGGGTGCGATGGATAAATTGTCGTCTAAATTACGCAAAAATGAAAATATCATTGACATCTCATTACAAACGATATATTTACCAAAATTGCGCAAAAATATCTTGATATACTAAAGAGCAAATATATTCAATAAAATCGCTATTGCCTCGAACCACTGCCTCCAGACGACTTCGGAATCTCCTGCGACTCTTCTGGGCGGTTTCATTGTTTAAGTGGGTGAATGCTGCTATAATCCTTGCCTTCAGTTCATCTTTGGTCTCTCGCTAAACTGCGTTCCACACATAATAATCAAGTGTGTTGCAGTCTGTGGAGTTAGGTGGCCAGATGTAAAGGGTGATGTGGTCACAGAAATTGTCTGACAACCATTGGGTTCTCCTGCTTGTGCAACATGTTGCAGGGTCCTGTTGCCAGACATAGAGTCTTCCAGCAGCCACCGTCTTGACCCAGAGCAGCACTACCTCCTCAAGGCACTTGATGTAGGCTCTCGTTTTGAATCTCATGACCTCACCAACAAATTCGGGAATTCTTTTCTTATCAGAACGATCAGAGTGAGTTTACCGAGCTGCCATTCCTTCATAATCACCATTAGACTCATCCAACTCTTTCTGAGTCCTCTGCCATGTCCTCAGATTGACATCCAAACACTCTGAAATGCTCATATTGGAAAATCCGGAGCAAATGCTAAGCAGTAAAACATGCTGTTTCCAAATTTCTGGCAGAGTGAATTGCGTCATGGTGCTTTTTTTTCTCACAGTCGGTGCCCAACTGACCCTACTATACTGTGCTGTCGACAAAATCAAAAAGAAACGACGCGCATGCGCGAAATGATAAATATAAAATGGTGACAATTTAACCATTGTATAGTGTACTTAAAATCAATAACTGACAATTGAAATTTCTTGGACTTATTATGAAGAAGAGCGGCTCGGAAAACTGAACGCTCACAGGGCATAACGAAGTAAACTTAATGGGAAACAACGAGTAACCCCCCTAAAGAGTTTGATTACATGGATGGCAGAGCAAGAGCAACGACAGTAAAGAGGTTGAAGCAGCTTAGAACAATAAAGAAGAGGAAGATATGGAGAGCCACCATCACCCTTGTCTTGAAGGGACACTGTACATAAAACGTATCAAACTGCAATAACAAAACAAACGTTTTAAATCCAGCAAATAAAATGCTCATATAAAGAAGAGAAATTGTCCCACCTGAAGAAGGAAGAAGACCGGGGTTTGGAATATACAGGTCGAAACACGGTAGCCATAGGAGCAAATA